CGGCTTCCGTGCCGCCTATCTCCGCTCCTCCGCCGTTGCCTCCCCGCAGGATCTATCTACAAGACGTTGTCACCGCCATGCACTCCGCAATGGGAGCATTGCAAACCTGAATTGACTTCGTATCCCCCTTCTCTAATCTCTACCCCCCCCTCACCCCTGTCTCCCCCTCCCCCTCGCACGGCACACACTCATTTCCCCCTTGCTCCCCTCCCCCCTTTCTCCCCCTCTCGCCCCCTTTCGCCCCCTATCATTCTCTCCACCCCCTTTCGTCCCCGATTTTATTCCTTTGTCTCCCCCTTTTCTAGTATTTTTCTTTCCCTTTTCTCCACTTTTCATGTTGGAGGGTGGCAGAGTATGAATATGAATATGAATATCAAGGTATGTCTTACGCGAGGCCGACTTTACACAAAACTGCTGATTTTCTAGATCGTGAGATATAAGCGATTTAAGTTTCCGCTTATGTATGGTTAAGTATGGGAGATAACTAAGCGGTATCGACCATAACGTTTCAATGCCTGGGTCAATTGCATACCTGGAGTACGCAATATGTTTAGATTACTTTGAGCGACATGTTTATCGAATAAAAATATTTTCGGAAGTTTTGTGTAAAGTCGACCTTGCGTAAGACATACCTTGATATAAACAACATATCTAAATTCTAAAATTTCGATTTGTGATTTCACATATCATGACATGACATGACATGCCATGCCATGTAATGGCATGGCATGGCACATGACATTGTCATGGCATCGGCATCGGCATCGGCATCGGCATCGTCATTGTCATTATCATTTTCATTGTCATGTCATGCGATGTCAGCAAAAGGCATAGGCATGGGCACCGAAGGTTCAAGGCATAAAAGCAAACTGGTCGCGGTGATGGAACCCCTACTCTTTATCTCTTAATCGTTTCTCAATGTGTCCGCTATGCGGAAACAAACTTTCGTACGATGAACGTGCTTACTTAGGGCACATGAGGTACATATACCAAAAACACGCATTACATCCATGTCATACCGTATTTGTACCCCCCCTGCACCTCGAGGATGCATCGAATGAGGTGCCTATGTGGCGGGAACCTATAAAGGTCATCTAAAGGCAGGGGGCACCAACTGCCCCACGCATGACCCGCCTCGCATATGTGGCGCCCCCCTACTGATTAATGATAATGGGGTGTGATTTTCAGCCTACAAAAGTAGGGGTGCTTGAGACCATCGCCCCAAATATGGGCTTTCTTGGCCACCCCTCGGGTCCAGATGCACTCATACACCCACCGTAGGCATCGAATATTTCAATGTTGGCACGCCAAAGCGTACCACCGCTTTGGAGAAGAGGTCCGTTTAGACCTAAAAAATGCAAAGTTTTTGCGAGCACCCTAAAATTGAGGTTTTTCACCTTTTTTTCCCGAGCAATATTGAGTGTTTTGGGTAGGGAGTCAGGTTTCTCCGCCTGAACCACGCCATGTCTCAAATTGGGGAGAGCGTCACGGTCGCAAAATGACCTCTTGTGCATGGTTCCGATTGGTACAACTCTCGGAATCGACGGTTTTGTAAATGCCGAAAACAAAGCTTCCGCATACCAGAAACAAAACGATAAAAAGGAGATAGGCAGGTGCATGGCCTTACGGTCAACTTACAAAATTCTCAACCATGTCTCACCACATATCAAAATGTTCGTATTTTTCAGCACATTGCGATGCACATTTTGATATGCGATGAGATATGGTTCGAAATTTCGAAATTTCGAAATCTGGCCATAATAGGCGGTGCAACATATGTATCTCTTAATCGTTTCTCAATGTGTCCGCTATGCGGAAACAAACTTTCGTACGATGAACGTGCTTACTTAGGGCACATGAGATACAAACACCAAAAACACGCATTACATCTACCGATGGGTGGGTGGCGGGCGAAAAAATGGCGCAATGGCACTGCCGCAGGCCTTGCATTTTGGAACTTTATATGGAGGTCGCAGGTTCGAGCCCCGCGGGGGCACACAACGGGCCACCCGAAGGCGAGATACGTAGCATGGTACATAGCGCACTCACGCGTCGGAAAGCATGCGTACCCTGACACATTTTGAGGGTTTTGCACCCCATTTTGTTGGGCCGAGGGATGGTGCATCAACTTTTTGATCTTGGGGTCATTTTGGGCGTAAAATAGGTGGGACATACCCCCTACTATGCGAGGGGTATGACACCATGTCATATCCGCAACATACCGTATTTGTGCCCCCCCCTTGCACCTCGAGGATGCATCGAATGAGGTGCCTATGTGGCGGGAACCTATAAAGGTCATCTAAAGGGGGCACCAACTGCCCCACGCATGACCCGCCTTGCATATGTGGCGCCCCCTACTGATTAATGATAATGGGGTGTGATTTTCAGCCTACAAAAGTAGGGGTGCTTGAGACCATCGCCCCAAATATGGGCTTTCTTGGCCATCCCTCGGGTCCGGATGCACTCATACACCCACCGTAGGCATCGAATATTTCAATGTTGGCACGCCAAAGCGTACCACCGCTTTGGAGAACAAGAGGTCCGTTTAGGCGATACCTAAAAAATGCAAAGTTTCCGCAAGCACCCTAAAATTGAAGGTTTTCACCTTTTTTTCCCGAGCAATATTGAGTGTTTTGGGCAGGGATTCAGGTTTCCCCGCCTGAACCACGCCATGTCTTGAATTGGGGAGAGCGTCGCGGTCGCATAATGACCTCTTGTGCATGGTTCTGATTGGTACAACTCTCGGAATCGGCGGTTTTGTAAATGCCGAAAACAAAGCTTCCGCATACAGTGCGTGCTCACATATAAGAATATCATGTTATAAGAATATCGGACCGGAAATGTTAGACCACTGTTATGTGCTTATATATGGGCTTCATGTGCTTAAGTATGGAAATATGCTAAGAATATTCGGTCCAACCCCGATTATCCGATATTCTTATATACGAGCACGCACTGTACCGGAAACAAAACGATAAGGAGATAAGGATGAACCCGGGCAAACCGTACTTACTTACTTGACTAATCGAAACTCGAATCCCAACGGGCGATACCTACGAAATTTCGACCGCCAAACGATAATGATGACATCGCCAGTTCGCCAATCGCCATCGCCACTACATTCGCGTACGTATGCCGATGCCGCGACGCCATCGCCACCCCGACGTTTCACCTTATCTTTATATTTACTAGGCTTGGCCGATCTCAATTTTGAGATCTCCGCTAGGCCTGTAGGCCATCTGAAATCTGATAGTTCGATCATCTCAACATTCACGTTTGTATTTTGTATTTATACAAATAATACAAACAGTGCAGTGAAAGAATACAAACAAAGGCGGACCTGGCGGTGTCATCGTTATCGTTTGGCAGTCGTCAGATCATACATTTTTCGTGTCACCCGTTGGGATTCGAGTTTTGTTTGTTTAAGTAGGGTAAAGTAAAGTAGGTAATTTGCTCGGGTCCTAAAACATAAAGAGCAGACGAGAGGTATCTTATGGCATGGGCCATGGCAGAAGCGATGTTCAGAATTGATAACAAAGAATTGAGAAAAGAGAACTCAGAATTGCAATCGTTAGCGTAATAAAACTCTACGTAAATTATTATAATCGTGTCGCGCCAGTGCCGTCCGATCGCAAAATGACGATGATTACGATGACGATTAGTTTCACAAATGTCACTATGTCACACCGTTAGAGTAGAGGGGGGCATACTTAGCGTGTGAGACCCATGGCCAGCACTAACTGTTTTTTCCCGGAAATGGGGGAAACCCATGGAGTTTGGGGGCTAGCACTAACGGTTTTTGGCTACTACCCCTTGGTACTCGAGAGAGTACCACAGCCGGCTCTGGTACTATCACAAGTACCAGCGCGCCATAATTTTTTTGGGTGCCCTCCTCCACTCTTGGGATGCTATCCATCATATACCATTGTTTTTGGGACCCAAACTGACTTGCATTATGCCTCATTGGTCCATATCACACGTGTAGCTCTCCTAATGAATGCGTGATGCCACCACGGTAGTGTTTTTTGTTACAAAGTGGCATCGTGCGTGTGTTCAAACTGATGGCTCTTCTTTCGAATTTTTTCCAAGCGCACTTGGGAACCAAATAAGCCCGCCCATCATTCAAATTGAAGCTATATATCATGCGCCAATGATGTGTGTGATTGTGGGTTGGTTGGCATAATGCCATTCGGCGTAAGTAGCATGCAAAACATCCAACCCGGTTTGTACTTGCCATAATTTGCGTGCAATATTGACTTTATTCCAGCCTGGGTAGCGGGCTTGAGCCTCGGGAATCCAAGTTGTGAAAATATACATATAGCCCAACCGACTGTAGAATATTGAAGTATACACCTGAATCGAATTTTAGAGACCTGTACATGCATGATAAGCTCATCCAGTCAGTTAATATACGCATACCTCTAGGATGGAGTGGGGAAAAAAAGGCAAGCGGAAATCGGGAAAACACAGTTTTGTCACATGCATGTGCCTTAATAACGACATGCATATGGAGCGTTGTGCCGTTGTCGCCATTCACATGCCGTAGCACGTAATGGGCACCTAGAATAGGTCCCAATAATGAACTCTACCATCATGTTCAGAGTGCCATGGCCACATGGCATGCCTTACTCAGCCTCGCCGTGTGTGGTACTTGTGACAGTACCAGCAAAAATAATTAATTTTCAGGCATTTCACCCCCCCAAAGCGCGTGACCGTAACATGTACCAAAAGTCGGTCGGGGTTATTTTCAATGTTCAAAATAATTCAAAAGGGTCCTAAATGAATTTTCAACGCCTTAGTTTGACCGATATACCCTCATCTACTGCACCCCACATGGGATTCTTATTGGTACTTGTGACAGTACCACAGCACGGGGTAGTAGCCATTTTGGCTCTGAACCCATGGTACCCGTAGACGTAGTACTAACGGTTCTGGCTCGAACCATGGTACTCACTGGGAAACAGAAACTGTACCGCTAGACCACAAGCCCGAAAAAGGTGAGCCAAACCGGGAATTGATCCACAGACCTCTCGCATGCCGGACGAGCGCTCTGCCGTTTGAGCTACTCTGGCTATTGATGGCAATTCTGGTGCGTTACACAGTATTGAGTCCCCACAGTGCCACGTAGACGGCGAAGAGTGAAACGCGAAGGATACAATTTCCCCCAATCTGCCGTTGCGGTGCGCTCTTTGTTGGGGCATCACGCGGCTTGTGCGGCGCGAATGTTGGGGGCGCGCGGCTCGGTGCGGCGCGATTGTATACTCCATGAGGTACCCCTATGGCTACTATCCAAATTAACAGTCCTTTCACAAGGACTAAGAGTCAACAATCAATATTGGGCATCGTTTGTGGCCAATGGGTCCCAAAGTGTGTTTCCACATCATATTTATGGGTCAAAGCAATATTAAAATATATTGGTACACGCCTCAAGTGAGTATAGTGTTACTTTTTAATGCGACGCTTTTGGGGTGTATTTCTGCGGTTTTCGATGAAAAAATCCCAGTCCTTTCACAAGGACTAAGCTATTTGCTGTGTTGCCTAACGCCTTAAAGGTCCCATGAAAATTCGGAGACCCATGTTCTCAAGTTCTCGAGCGGCTCTTTCTGCAGTGTCTTGTCAAAATTCTGATCCGAGGTCATCTCGGCCTTCAAAATATCGGTTGAAGTAGCATGAATGACGAATAAATTATATTCCGGCGAACGACTAGAAAACATGGAGAAAAAAACGCGTACCCCCATGGGAAACCTCAACTGTGGCGGTCAACATGCATGCCACTTGACATTGTAGGACGGAGCCTACCAAACTTCAAGTCCTGACGGAATTTCCGCCCCGGGGGCAAGCATATCGGAGCTCGTTAAGGCATCGGGAAAAATGATTGGAAAGTGGGTCCTTGTGAAAGGACTGTCGGCAATTACAGTCCTGTCACAAGGACTGCCGGATAGTAGCCACCTAGCCATAGTACCATCGATCCCCCCCATCGGGGCATGGGTCCCCTGGGCAACACTTACGGATTCAACACTATCTCATTTTGCACCTGACCAAGGGTCCGGCCGAGCTCGATCTCATCGAGTATCCGGAAAATTCCGATATGATCACTTTTTGAGACCATAATATAAATTATAATTGAGACAGTAAAATTATTGTGTGGACTGATGACGGGGACTTTTTATCGCGGATACTTCATTGTTCATTGGCTGAAAACCTGAAATTAACGTATGAGACTTTCATTGGTTCAGTACAGTATTTTTTTGGAATGACTTGGCATATTTCCCGACTCCCGTCCCGAGGCGCATCGCGAGTTTTGTCATACCGTGTTAGGATTAGCCCAGGCAACCCTGACCGGGAGTCCCGGTATAGGCCCCTGACTAGACCCTTAGTCCGATCTGACTCGGGTACCGCTGCCCGTATGTGTCACCGCAACGTCACATGCCGTTAGGTACCGTTCGGGACTTTCGCATAGGTTATAGGTTTTGGTGTCATATTCTTATCACACTGAATAATATTCTGAATACAGTCAACCTAAATAGGCTCACTCCGAATATATCCGGTTGGGGTATATTCACGAGGTCGTGGACCCATTCCACGCTTTTATTGTCCTTACTCAAGGGCATGGTTGGCTAATTTCGCCGTTTGAGTAGGTGGTGCACTTGGGCGCCTGTGGGGCGTTTGGGCGGTATGCGCGGTAAAGATGCGGTTGGAGGCGGCTCTGCCGTTGTGAGATTTGTGTTGCTGGTGATTGGGCTGTAGCTGGTTGGATCTACGTTACGGATTAGCTACCCTGGACGCCATCTCACTGTAGGAGGAGCTTACGCGCGCGCCTACCCTTTCGACTTCGCAATCTTCTATTTCTTCACGTTGATACTCCGCTACATCCGGCATTTCCGATTTTACCGCCCCATTGCCCCACCTTGGCGCCCGTCAGCACCACCTGCCTAAGGTGTTCACATTTATGGCTTCTAGACCAATGCCGACGCGCGCTAAGCGCAGACTTCTTAAGGAAAGTGATTCGGAGGCAGCAATTCGCCTCCAAGATTCAGTGCGGAACGCATCTACTCCGCAGACGCCACCAGTGTTGCCGCCGCCTGATCCACACGAGGACGACGACGAGATGGTCAAGGCGGACCGGCAACACTATGTGGACCAATGCAAGCTGATCAAGGACGTCAGAAGGGAAAACCGGCATCGTACATGGGGGAAGGCGCTCCGCATGTCTGTGTTGGGGAAAAAGAACAAACGCTTCGAGGCCACCCCGAAGGACATCGACAAGCTTGGCAAACTCGTGGGGGCCCTGAAGACCGAGTTCTTATCTGCTGGACTGGTCGTATCTTCATTCGACTTCGAGCACCCCACACGTGTGATCGAGGCTGTGAACGAGCTCGTCTACGACACTCTGGCGGAGCTGATCAAGCCTGGCTCGCAGGCGGAGATGTTCTTCGAGTCCATTGACTCCTCTACGGAGCGGGATGGGCGTCGCGCGCTCTTGGACCTTATCAAAGGGTGCGTGCCCCCAGGTGTGCGTCCATCTCACCAGGAGGAACATGCCGCCCTTCGCTACCCCGCCAAGACAGACCCGCGGCCACTCCTTGCCACGGAGCACCGGCTGGTGCGTGAGAATCGGGCGCTCGATTGGCGCCCGACGGAGCAGACGAGCAAGCAGCAGTTGTTCGACCGGCTTGACGTTGAGTTTTACCGCGCGGTCTTGGACCGCTACCCCATGCCGTCCGACCTAGCCGCGGTTGATTTTAACCCCTTAGTTGCGGTTGGAACTTTTTGCAAAAATATGTGGTTTGGGGACAATTCAAAGTATTGCGTGATCATGGCCGCATGCACGCATACGACATCATGTATGTTATAGGAGACCATCAAATAAGCCACAACGAATCATGGTATAACTATATCTATCGTATATCTCGAGATATATGGATTATCCAACCAAAATTTTGAGTATTTTGAGCATAGAAATTACGCATACGTCTTGTGTACGATGCGTGACTGCAGTCTTATTGACCTGTATCATGGTAAAATATCGCGGAAATTAACATATTAGACTATCCCTAATCCATAGTACGCATTAATACCGCCCAATGTGCCAAAAAATACCAAAAATGGCCAAAAAAACACCGAAAAAACACTTGGATTCAAATGTTTTCCTCACTTAAGAAATGTTTTCCATACTTAAGCTAAAACTCAGGTGATTTTGCTCATAAAATGAGACTATGTGGTGATATAATACCCCATGTTGCATGCGAGACTGGCGTTGGGATCCAATTTCTATCGTATATTTCCACATGGCCACGTATATGCTTACCAATACGGGATGTTTATGGCTTGGTTAGCTACTTTTCAAAGCCAAATTTAAGCGCAAAATGACACAAATAGACAAATTTGGGTTTGGAAATACTAACACGTGAGAGATATATCGCACTAGTATATGTGCTATACTATTGGTTAACCTGTAGCCATATATCATGAGTGCACCCACAAACCTTACAACATTCGATGCGCCAACCGCGCATATGTAGTTTCATGGTAAGCCACGCTCTCATTTTCGAGGCCTTGTTGAGAATTCTCAACGTGTCGCAGCTAAGGGGTTAAGATGCTCACTAATCTCGTGACACGAGTGTTTGTCAACTGGCAGCAGCAACAGGCGGACCTGGGTGGCGAGGCAGGGACCGCACCACTTGCGGCTGCTCTCGCCACCGGCGATCCCGCCCTGAAGGCCATCCTCGACAAGATTACGGTGCTGGAGCACTTTATTCGGGGCGGTTGTAAAGGGCCGCTCACTCCGGCCATGAAGAAGGCCGCCCTGGGGCCTCGCGGTGGGCTTAACGGCTACCGCGCAGGGTCCGCTAAGGACGGTCGCCCGCCTGTCGGTTTCGATAAGGCGGAGATGCGCGCCTTACCACATTGCAAGCGGTGCGCCCATATTGGCGACGGTGAGAAGTACCACCCCTGCGTGACTGCCCACACGGTGGTGCTCAGCCTAAGCACACAGGCACCGCGGCTGCATTTTGCTGTCCTCTCGACGGTGAGGACTTGCAGGCTATGGCGTTGGCGCAGGTGTTCCAGGACGCGGCGGATTGCGAGCCGGACGCTTTCGCGGCCGCGATTGAGGTGCATGGAGCTCCGGCGGTGCTTACAGCAGGTGGTGCCGCGGCGGAGCTCGACATGTCCGCCTACGGATTCTCTGTGCCGAGAGGGCTACGGTACTCTAACCGCACGACTCGACGACCTCGTGTCTGCCACGAGTGTCTCTTTCGACGGTGCGTCCTTTCAGCATGGTGTTGCTGAACATCCTCCCGCTGCCGCGGGGGCGGTTACGGTGGGGGTGCAGTGCGAGACGGACCTCGATGGCCCGGCCTACGGCAACGAGGGTTCCACAGGCGGTGGGACCTACGGCATTGCGACGGGTGCGCCTGCCCCGTCGGTGGAGCGGACTCCATGGCCGCGCACGATTGAGTTTGCGGCACATGAGTTCACGCATCGCGAGATCACGGCACAACAGGAGGCGGGATTCCAGGTGGCGGCGGGTGCTTTCACAACATCTCAGATTTCGGTGCCGTCGGCTGCAGGGCAGCACGTGGCACAGACGGCACGCCGCCCTGCTGTGGGATGCGGTGTGCCACCTTTTGGCTTTGGCATGCCGGCAATCGGAGCCGTGGCGGTTCTATCCTTGCTCTGCATTTCTTTTGCCGGTGTGGCGGTTTCGGCCTCCACGGCTGCTGCCGCGTCAGCTTCTTCATCGGCTACGGAGATGCCTTCGCCTGGTGGTGCTCTCGATTGGGAGATTCCGTCTCGTACCCGGCTCGTACCGGACGGCACTGGGTAGGCTGTAACACCTGGAAGTCCCACCCCTTGTCCCCTGCGTCCTTCTGCAAGAACACCAGCCCCTGCAACTGGGAGCTGTTGGTCCGCATCACGTACCCCATGCGCAGCATCCCACCGTGCGCCGTGGGCAGATTCTCGTAGTCCTCTTTCAACAACAAGGGCATCCCCGTACACACCAAGCCGGAGGTCCTGTCGGCGTACTGCATGTCCGCCCCGGCAAACACGCACATCTTGATGCCAGTCT